CCTTAGAACTGTAAATGCTTTGTTCATGAATTGGACAATGACTTACAACTGGTCAAAATGTAAAGTACAACTCGATAATAGAAAAACGTAATGAAAACAACTTGAAAATGCTAAAAAAACACTTGGTTCAAACAAAACAAGACTCAAAAGTATAGTCATGGTCCACCCAAACAAAGTCCAGCTTCTGTTACAACTGCATTGAGCTAGACCAGCATCAAGCCTCGACTGGGCTACACTGATGCAGGGTCGGCCATCAGTGTGATCTCGGTCAGTGCTGTCCAGCTGTCGTGCACAACTCCTTCTCAAATTCTATAAATAGTACTCCCATACTATTTTTCTAGCAGACTCACAAGTCTTTGATATTTGGCTCTTAAAATGGAGATGTTACATGTCAGCAGGCTTCAAGACTGGATCGCCACCTTGGATGGTTCGGAAAAGGTGAATTTTCGTGATTTTAACCTAAACACCTTTTTTCCTTGAAGTCGTACTTTGCTTTGCTTTCCATTCCTCCAGGTCGCAGTTCGATGTTGGAACCCAGTCACACATATATTTAGCTTCGGGGGGCAAGAAGTATGCTCAACAATTGAAGAATTTTGGGCACTAATGGAATCCCAGTGCGATGAGGAAATCATGCCTCAACCTCATTTTGGCTAAGCTCAAGCTTTGGAGCAGATGTACGGATTATCAGCGCACGAGGCTCGGTCTTTGGCACATGATGGGAGGCTGGACATCCCCGGTTTAGTTCATCAGTTTTCCGTTATTGGAGATAAGAGCGACCTTCTTTGGCGTAGCCATCAACAATATGCTCTTTGTTTATGCCTACTTGCGCAATTCCTAATTTCCCCTAGTTCTGACAGAGCCAATATCCGACTGATCAAAATGGCCCAATGCCTAAAAGAAGGTAAGAGTTGTATTAGTTTGGCACTGGCTAAAACCTTGATGGGCCTGGGCGCTGTTCACCAACGGGAGACCACCAGGTTTGCAGGAAGTTCGCTACTTCTCCAGGTGTAATTTCCTACCCTTTTATTTTATAATTCTAATGTCACCCAACACCCTAACTCTGTTTCTTCTCTCAAAACCTCTTCTTTACTTTTCTTTCAACGTACACCTCTCTATTCTTTAATCTATCTGATTTTGCATCCCTTTCCAGGTATGGTTGATAGACAAACTGAAAGTAGTAGATCCTTGCCCTAAGTACTCTGCTTGAGCTTACTCCTTTCGCCAATGATTAGTTGATTTCCCTTTAGAAGGGTTGTGGCATGACTCAATGTGTAGCCGATCTGCAGTTGACATAGCATGGCGTTTCCCTTGGCTTGATTTGGCCGAAATGAGTTACAGCATAACACATCAACCCGGCATATAGTTGATTAGTCTGACACACTGCGTGTTTTACTTCCCCTTCCGGTTCAGACGCCAATTTGGACATAATCAGATTTTTCCAAGTGAGGGAGTCACATATTCGGCTCCATTCCCCGTTCATGCTTGAAACCTGACTTGGTACCTCACTACTTGGAGAACAACAGAACTTCTGGTCCCTGCCCTTAATTTTAGTTACATCTTTCCTAGTGAGTGCTTAACTTGGCTCAGAGACGAGGAATAGATTGGGCCGACTTTAGCTATAGAGACTTCCATAGGTGCGAACAAAAGGAAGAGAATCGACACCTGACTTATTACGCCCCTAGTGTATTGCTTTGACCTTTCTTTTCAAGTTTTTGATTTGTATAAGAGATTTGGAGAACTTTAAGTTTGAAATCAATGAAATTAAAGTTGTGAGCACTGAAAATTTTTCTTTTGATCCAAAAATGGTCTAAGTTTTAAAAGGTAAAATTTGAACAAAATTTAAAACTTTTCAAAACTACTTTCGAAAATGATGTTCATTGCCTGACAAACATGGAATCAAACCTCAAGATGCACAACTCCAAATCGGCAAATCATACCACTACTGCTCTGCATTATAACCAACTCCTTTTTCCAAAATGAAGATCACAACCGAACTAACAGAAATTGAACAAAGATGACCTGATCAGATAGGACAGTTGAGCTGGAGATAATTACGGCTGAACTTCAGGATGAAGTTGCCTATGTATCCCAAAGATAGGAATCAAGCCTTACGTAGTTTGCTTCAGGTTCACTCAAGTATTAACTCTCTCCTTTTGCGCTCTAACTTTTGCCAAGGTCGCCCTTTAAGGTTTTCAACTTTGCAAGCTCAATTTTTCTTCATTTCTATTTTTTTTTTTATGGTCTAACTTTTGCCTAGGTCACCCTTCCAGGTTTTCGGCGTAGCGAGCCTCTCAGGAATAATATTTCTTCAACTTGTCCATGTTAATCGGTTGGGAAAATTCCAGACCATCGAACTCCATGAGAATGACTGCTTCTTCTGACCAAATAGACTTGATGATGTAAGGACCAGTCCAATTGGGTCTGAACTTGCCCTTAGGGTCATGGAATGAAGCTCGGTTGTCTTTGAGCACCAGATCTCCTTCCTTGAGATCCCTAGACTTAACCTTCTTGTTAAAAGCCTTAGCAATTCTGTGTTGGTAGCCCTGGACATGATACAATGAGTTTAGCCTTCTCTTATCAAACAACATTAACTCCTCGAATCTATTTTGTTGTCAGTCAGCCTCTGCTATCTACCACTCAGCCATAACCCGCAGTGATGGTACTTTAATTTCAATTGGCAGAACAACTTCCATACCGTAAATGAGAGAATAGGGGGTTGCCCCTGTAGACGTTCGGATTGAAGTTCTATAGTCCCAAAGTGCAAACTGCAGTTTTTCTGGCCAGTCTCTGTAGGTCTCAACCATTTTCTGCAAAATATTCTTGATGTTCTTGTTCGCAGCCTCAACAGCTCTATTGGTTTGCGGCTTGTACATAGATGACTTATGAAAGCCACATTGTATTTCTCCAACAAGTCTATCACCTCCTTCTTGAAGTGGGAGCCATTATCTGATATGATCTTGTTTGGGACTCCATATCGACAAATGATGTTGTTTCTGATTAACTTAGCCACATGCACTGCTTTCAACACTACATAGGACTGGGCTTCCACCCACTTTGTAAAGTAATCAATTGCCACCAAAATGTATTCATGCCCATTCGACCCTTTTGGTGTGGCTGCTCCAATGACGTCGATTCCCTAGACTGAGAAAAGCCATGGTGAAGTCATGTTGTACAACTTCGATGGTGGGATGTTCATGCGATTAACATGAATTTGGCATTTGTGGCATCGCCGAATGAAACCAATACAATCCTCGTCAATGGTGGACCAGTAGTAACCTTGCCTGAGAATCTTCCGGGCTAACATGACTCCGTTCATGTGTGTTCCGTACTCCCCTCCATGGATGGCTTCCATCAGGCGCTTCAACTCTTCCTCTTTGACATATAACTTGTGCATTCTCATATGACCTCTTTTGTATAGTTTGCCTCTGCAAATGATAAATTGGGCAACCATCCACCGCATTCCCCGTTTATCTTTGGTGTTTTCCCCTGGTGGATAATCCTCTTTTTTCAAGAAGTTCTAGATGTTGAAGTACCAAGGGTTTTGTCTTGTGCAGCATCTATCATGGTGATAGTTTCATAGACTGGGGTGTATTTCTACTCAATGATGATCGGACGCATCCAGACTCTAAGCAGGATGTTTACCATCGAAGATAGGGTTACTAAAGCATCAGCGTACCTATTCTTCTCTCTTAGTAGATGCGTAAAAGTCAACTTTTCAAACTTAAGAATCAGAACATCCAGGGTCTGGTGATAAACCTTCATCTTTTCTTCCGTGACTTTCCAATCTCCATTTGCTTACGAAACAAATAAGTTCGAGTCCCCGATAACATCCAACCATATTGCCCCTAGTTCTAGGGCAGCTTCTAAACCAGCAATACACGCTTCATATTCTGCTTCATTGTTGGATACTTTGAAACGTAGCTTGAAGGCTAAAGGTATGTGGGAGTCGTCGGGTGCTATCAGAAGCACACCTATCCCATAACCGTACTGATTGGGTGCTCCGTTAAAGTACATTTTCCAAGTCTTCTCCTCGACTTGTAGAATGGCTTCATCTGGGAACAAGTATTCAACTGTCTCATCCCCTTCTACCGGGTGATCTGCCAGAAACTGTGTTATAGCTCTTCCCTTGACTGATTTGTGGGTGATGTATTGGAGATCAAATTCGGAGAGGCGAAGCAACCAACAATCTAGCTTACCTGTAAGCGTTGGTTTCTCAAATAGATATTTGATGGGATCTAATCTCAAAACCAGGATTACAGAGTGATCTAATAGGTAGTGCCTCAGCTTCTAGGTAGCCCATACCGAGGCTAGGCAAGCTCTCTCGAGGGGAGTGTAATGGTTCTCATAGTCTAGCATCTTCTTACTCAAGTAGTAGATGGCCTTATCTACCCTATCTTCAGATTCTTGCACTAGCATGCATCCCATGGTCGTGTCTGTTACTAACAAGTACAAAATCAACGGCTTTTCTAGCTCTGGTGGGGATAACACAGGTGGATTCCAGAGGTACTGCTTGACCTGCTCAAAGGCAAGTTGGAATCGATCATCCCATCGGAATTTCTTCCCTTTTTTGAGGAGACTAAATAGTGGTTCACAAGTCAAGGTTAATTTGGAAATAAACTGTCTTATGGATTACAACTTACCCAGAAAGCCTCGCATCTCCTTTTCAGTCCTTGGTGGGAGCATTTCTAGGATGGCCTTGATTTTGGAAGGATCAACTTTGATTCCCCTCTGTGTAATTAAAAAGCCCAACATTTTCCCTGCTATTACGCTGAAGGTGCATTTCTGCGGGTTCAACCTCAATCTGTATTCCCTGATCCGTTAAAGAATTTTTCCAGAGCGATGTATTGGCCCTCTCGGTCTTTCGACTTGACTATCATGTCGTCCACGTGCACCTCAACCTCTTTGTGGATCATATCATGCAAAATGGTAGTTGCAGCTCTCCGATAGGTAGCCCCAGCATTCTTATGGCCAAATGGCATCACCCTGTAGCAGTAGGTACCCTACAACATAGTGAAAACGGTTTTATCACTGTCCTCGGGCGCCATCAAAATTTGGTTATACCCGAAAAATCCATCCATGAGTGAGAGCAATACATGGCTCATGGTGAAGTCTACCAACTCATCAATGTGCGGCAGAGGAAAGTCGTCTTTTGGACTAGCTTTGTTTAAGTCCCGGAAATCTACACAAACCCGAATTATGCCATCCTTTTTTGGTACTGGGACGATGTTGGCCAACCAAGTCGGATACTCATATACTAATATGAATCGTGCTTCGATCTGTTTGGTGACCTTTTCCTTGATCTTCAATGTCCAATCCGAGCAAATTCTGTGAATTTTTGCTTGACTAGTCGGGCCTCAGGGTTAGAAGGGATTCGGTGCTGTACGATCTCAGGATCAATTCCAGGCATGTCTTCGTAAGACCATACGAAAACATCTTTAAAACCTTTTAATAAAGCGACTAAGTGTTTGCGTTCCTTCAAAGACAACGTGGACACGATTTGGACCAGGCGTGAATCCTTCTTAGTACCCACATTAATGGCAATGATTTTATCAATGCATGGTTTAATATACCTCTCATCCTCTTGATTAATTAAGTTTTTCAAAGCCAAAGGAATTTCTTCCTCTTCATTTTCATTAAAAGTTTGAAAATCTTGGTCAATGCAATAAATAAGCAGCACGGAGAAGTACTCAAAATCTGTAGAGTTCTCATTCAACAGGTCTACCTCTTCGGTTACAACAAACTCAAAAGCAAAAGAAAAGGAGGACATAGACAGGACCTTGGCATCCGAGTTACCACCCCCGGGAATGCTAGACTCAGACCCCTCAGAAGAACCAGAATCTAACTCCACAGACTCTGTGGGATCAGATTCTAGCTCATCATCCGATTTAGAACTAGAAAGGTAGCCTTTCTCCAGCTTCCAAACAAGAGATGGTGCCTCCAATGCATCCAAAATGCTGCTAGATGGGTTCACACTCAGTTGGTCGCCGATCGTGGAGATGGTCAGGTTATCCCCCAAGCTCTCTGAATCGGCTGGAGGATCTGAAAGAAGACATGCCAGTGCTGCCCCTACTCCAAGCTCACTGTTGTTCGAGCCACTCTCCATGCTCTGTCTAGCATCAATATTTGGTTCAGTCTTTTCCTTGGCGTCACTATCTTGCAACTTCAGGTTAAAGAAGATTTTGAAGCCAGGAACATACTGCTTTGTAGAATTCATCCAGGGTTCGGGAAAGCCACAAAAGGGAAAGTTTTCACCCTCTTGAACAAAGTGACCATTAGTGTTCCCTAGATTGGCCTATGGACGAGCTCATAGCGTTTCCCGAACTGCTTGGCTTTATCTCTGCCTGTCATCTCTTCCCTTTTCTAGACCTAATCCTCTTTGGTGGGCACATAGCCAAGACCAAAGGCATGCGGATTATGCGGCACATCGGCCAATGCTGTAACACCTTTCCGGTCACTTCTTCCAAGTCCCATTCCTGGCATATGTTGTAGTTTGTTCATGATATAAACAGATTGGGTGCTGACATACATGCCATCATCTGCTGCCAAGATGGTCTATACTGCCCGGGGCTCGGCCAATGTAAATCTTAAGAAAAAAACATCCTCTTCGCCATGAACGATCTTTAATACTGGTGTAGTTACCTTTAGCGGGGGATGAATGGATGAATTCCCAAACACAATCGCCACCCCCTTCCCATGAGGGTATTTCAGCATTTGATGGAGAATAGAGGAGACTGCTTTCACCTGATGGAACCAGGGCCTTCCTAGTAGTAAGTTGAAAGTGGCTGGCACATCTAGGACATGGAACTCAATATCTTGTTGAACTGGGTCCACTTGAACTCTGATTTGTGCTGTGTCCATAACCTCTCTACTGTTATTATCATACGCCTGAATCACTAGGGTTGTAAGCACAAAATTTGCTAGTTTCAGGCCAATGGCATAAGCTATATGAGACAGACTGTCACGCCCTAAACTCGCCCCTAGAAGTTTGGGCATGACCACTTCAGTAATGGACACTTAACCTGTTATATATAACATATGGGGCCTTATCGGAAGCACACAAAAAAAAAAAATAGATAAATAATAATGAACAATTAAACTCCATTGAGCTACTCCTATATGCCAGGATCTCATTCATCACATGCATTATACCAGATAAATAAAGTTCCAAACTATATCCCAGAGTGTGTACATACACATTTACAGTTCCAGCCCTAAAGTCGGGCGTATACAAAAACAAACATGAAAGGTATATACGACAACCTTGGATGGACACTCATAAGCAAACCAACATCTTGACAGCTTAAGAAATTAAATGACTTAAACAGTGCCTTAACATATGAAGGTTGACTAGAGGAAGCGGCGTCTTGGCTAGGACTGACCGCCTGATTGGTGACCTACAGAAATAGACATAACAGAGGGTGAGCCGGGCTCAGTGAATAGTAATACATAAATAAAATGATGCATAACTTGAACCATAATGCATAGCAACGCATATATAGAAATGCAGAGTTTACATAATTAGTCTGATTCTGTGCTAATTTCATAACGGCCTTAGGCCCAGTCTTAAAACATAATAGCTTGAGACATAATAGCTTGAATCATAACGGCTTTAAGCCCTTGAAAATGTCATAGCATTAAACTTTTAAACATGTTGGCATATAGCCCTTGAAACATATGGCATAAAGCCCTTGAACGTGTGGCATAAAGCCCTTGAACATGTGGCACAAAGCCCTTGTAACTTGTAATGGCATAAAGCCCTTGTAAACATGTTGGCATTAAAGCCCTTGAAAATGGCATGAAGCATACTTAAACTTGTAACATATACATGAAACATACCTGAAACATCCTTGAACTTGTAATATACTTGAAACCATACTTGAAACATACTTGAACTTGTAATTTACCTGAAATCATACTTAGACCATACTTGAAATATACTTGAATTTACAACATACGTGAACTTGTAACAGGCGTATACTTGTAACATATTTGGACTTGTAACATACATAGACTTATAGCATACTTGGACTTGTAGCATACATGAACTTATAACATACTTAACTTACTTAAACTTGTGCATACTTGAACTTGTCACATATATTAACTTGTAACATTCTTGACTTATAACATACGTAATCTTGTAACAGACTTGAGCTTAGAACATACGTAAACTTGTAAACATTCATTAAGTCATAACGTAACATATCAGAAAACAGGGCCTTTCTTGTCATATTATGTCATTATTGTGCGCCTAACATAATAGAATAATTCGTATTCTTATGTAGTCACATAAGGATGTTAAACCTTTGCATTCATGTGTAACACAACCAAACAACTTCAGATTCATATGGATTCACATAGTTTTTCCAATTATTCTGATTCTTCGAAGATGAACATCAGTTCCACTTATCCTTTAAGAAATCACAAAGGATGCTTATAAATAACAAAGGGATTAGGAATAAAGGATTCCAAAATCATACCGACGTACGCGAATCTTTCAGTGTTCATGTCAATTCATTTTGAATTCCAATTGTCATAGATGTTCGTATAACACTTACAAAGAACGGAGCATTAGTAACAATAATTATCAACAATAGATAAAATATACATTTTTGTACTATTACTCACAGTGTTCAGGTGCGTGGTCCGTCCTTGTAGCTAATCCTACACAAGTCACGTAATTCAATCATAATTCATCATAGTACAACATCATTTAGTTCATGAACACCATTTGTAATTTAACATAATTCAAATAAATCTTTGAATTCCATATCAACCTTCTAAAACCAAGTTCATATCATCTATATCCTTAATAGATTATTTCCCTAATTTTTCCTTTACATGATAGCATGAATTCCACCATTTATAACAAATTCATTCGCAATTCTAAACACAATTTTCAAACATTCCCAAATTCTAATTCAACTTCAACACACATAATTCAATACTTCAATTTCATTACTCTACTTTCAACTTGAGCCAATTCATTGGTTATCATCGTTAATCAACCTAGGGTTTCCAAGAAAATTGGAGGTTTTCCTCTTTTCTTAGTGAAATCGCCAAATCAACAATTACTATATGCCAATATGCTAAAAAACATTCAACATTCTTTGTGAAGTAGAGTGGAAGCCCCAATTGTGCATAAACATAAAGCCATAAGTGTCCCTATCCCATAATCAACTCAAGATTCCAAAATGTCAATAAAATCTCAAAGTTCCAACAAAATCACTTTGAATCATAAACATTCAAGGCTAAGAGAACCCCCTACCTCGAAATTGAAAGCAAAGAAGCTAGATTGAATGCATCCTCTCGAAATCCCAAAATCTAATCGGTTGGAAAAGTTGATCTTCACTTTTTCTTCACCCTTGATGCACGATCCATGATGGATTGTTGGTAAAAAATAGATGAAATCAAAGGTTTGAGGGTTAGGGTTTTGGACTTAGGCAAGAAGGAAGGGAGAGGGAAGGAAAAAAATATAAGAAATGATCCAAAATCCAGGTTTTAAAGCTGCTGTCCCAAAAATCCCGCTCGAGCGTCCTTATTCCCGCTCGAGCGGACCTGTTCTCAGCACAGATTCCAAAACTTCAAACAGGTGTAACTCTCCCATCCAGACTCCGTTTTAGGTCGTTCTTGTGTCCAAATTGAAGCCCCGAAAATAAGCTTTCCAATGGTTATAACCTCACATCCAAATTCAAAGTGTGGAAAAAGAAAGGACAAAAGAGTGACGGCTGGTCGCAGACAAATCATTCTAATTCAAGCTTTTGGTCCAATCTTACTTTACCATCATATTACCACCTCAACCAATACTCCAAAATAAGATAAGGAGGTTCTAAATTCACTAATAAAAATGTCCCAAAACGAACCTACGAGCCTCAGAAATTTAAACTCAACTTGGAGACCCGCTCGAGCGCCCAACCTTGTGCTCGAGCGCGAAGACCAACAAAGACGTCCGCTCGAGCGTCAACTACCCCGCTCGAGCGGAAAATCACAACTCCCAGAATCTCAGGCCGTCTGTACAATTTGCTGGAAACCCCAAAAGTACGCTCTAGCGCCTACTGCTCCGCTCGAGCGGAGGGAAAAAGTTCCAGATTCTTCGGTAAAGGTCACAAATTCCAGTTTCAAAGGCATAACCTAACGGATCGTTCTTCAATTCCGATAGCAAACACATTAACCCCTAATTAAATAAGGATTACTTCCTATACGCACTTTGGGGTCATTACACAGATAGACATTAATAGATGACCCGGTGTCGACCAACACCATCGGTACCCATTTTTCTCTACACTCAACAGAGATATACAAAGGTTTGTTGTGTGCTGACCCTTCTGGCGGCATTTTCTTATCAAAAAAGGTTAAGGTTAGGTTGGCGCTACTTGGAAAAACCAATCCCACAAACTGTTCTGGGGTTATATCAATGGACAGTTTGGATTTGTCCATTGCTGATAATACAGCCTGTCGATGCACCCGAGAAGCCATGAGCAGACCCTACATTGAAATGCCAGCTTGGATTTTCTTCAGTTGTTGTAATACTGCTTCTACTTCCAACTGTTTCTCTTTCTGTTTCTCAACCTCTTTATCTTTCCCAGAGGCCTCGGCTTAATCTAAGTGCTTGAAATACTGCCCACTTCTTGTTATATGATCAATCTCCTCAGTCTACCATGTGTTGTCTAGAAAGCACTCACCCCAATCTTTGTCTGCGTGAGCCAGGTGTAGATCATCATCTTCCCACCATACACCTTCGGCGGCCGACAAACAGTTGTTTGGTTCCCTTACAAGGTGTTGAGGCATTACAGTTTTCAGCCTATCTTCCATCCTTTCTCATTCAAACACAGCTTCGTGTTTTGCATAAAAAAGTCCCTAAGATGAACTTTCCTCACCGGTGCTCTCCAATGGTTTTCTCTTTCCATCGGCCATTTCGGCCACTGCAGCAATTCTAGCACCATTTTCCTCTAGTTTTGTTTCTATTCTTTTCTACCTGTTAGATTCATCACTCCACCACCCAAAGTTGTCCATCGACCTATTGAAATCAAACCAGTCAATCTACACATCTCCTTAATCTTGTTCGTCGAAGAACTACAGGTTGTCTAAGTCCTCCTCAAATTCCGCCAGATCATCCAAACCTTGGCTGTGGCCATCCTCTTTAACCACATTGACCTCCGCTATATTTGGCACTACCATTTCTAGCTTGGCTTGATCGACCGGTACAATGTAGTA